TCTACAATAATCTGGTGGCACTGTCTTATCAATTATGAGAAAACCACAAATTTGAATCTCTCTTTTCCGGTTTCTTCACTCATTCAAAACAATTAAGGTTCATTTCCAATAAACAAATGTGTCAAAGTTGTTGATGCGACACAAAAATTTAATAAAAAGGTAAAGATTTAAACAAAAACAATACTAAATATAAAAAATTATTATAAAACTTATTAACTGAAATATTAATTTTATATATATATATATATAACTAGATACACCTCTCTTCCTCTCTCTCTCTCACATCTGCTACAACTCCCTCCATCTGTTTCCTCTTTCATATTTTTCTCTCCTCTCATTCTCTTTCTTTTGTTCCTCCATTTCCCCTTTCTTTCACTCTCTTTGTACTTAGGGAGATTCAAAGCGTGGTCAATAATATTGTTGAGAATCAATGTCACATTAATAAAAGGAAGAAATCTGCACATCAATTTAAGGTTGGAAAAAACGCCGCCTCATATTGAGCCTTATGTCAGAAGCACTAAAGACTACGAATTGAGTAAGAAGAAATGAACGGAAAAAAACAACAAAGAAGAAGAAGAAAGGAAAAGCAGTAATCAAGTTTTGGGGTTATTACTGTAAACAAATTTTTATCATAAAAAATGTTTCCTCATTTTTTTTTGGTCAAACTAATTTATTTCGGTTAAAAAAAGGCAAGTACAAGGAAAAAGACAGTCCAAAGGGCAGCTTACTACTTAAATATAAGCCACCAACAAAAAAAAAAATACAAAGATAGGCCCAAAAGTGGCCAGTTGAACAACAACAAAAAAAACCCTGAGCGCATCCACTGCAAGGCCATCACGATCACCAAGAGGACGAACCAACAAAACAAATGGATTAACAAAAAATGAGGATGAGACCCAAATAGAGTTTTTGAGGAAAAAAAAATGAAAATGATAAAAATGGGTTTAGTCCCTAACCGCTCGAACCAAACAATTCAATCTAAACCGTATTGAATCGAATCAAAATATTATATTTTTTTAGTTTTATTTAAGATAAAACCAAATCAATCCGAAATCCAAATCGCTAAAACCAAATCATTCCGTAATCCAAATCGTGTCAACCAAAATTTTTTGTGGAACAATTTATTTTATCTTGAAAAGGAAAAAGGTTAAGACGAGTGTAGAGTAGTAGTCGTATCCTATCGTAGTGGCTGCTGTCGTGTCGTTGTCATGGCAAAAATGGTGAAGATTTTTGTAGAAAATCGGAAACAGATGGCAGCAAAGCAGGCTACACAATCACACTTGTTCCGTTCCGTATCCATAATCCATAATCCATAATTCATCCTTCCATATCCTAAACAACCACAGACCCACACTCCTTCCTTCCTTATCCACGCCCCTTCCACTGCGAGTGCATTACTCTCTACACGGTGACACGACACAAAAACATCATGAAAATAACGATTTTCGGTTCAACACGATAACAAATAGGATCGTTATCGGATGACTCATTACGAATCCGTTAATAATAGGGTATGCATGGGGTAACCCGTTTCGACTTGTTTAAGAAAATTTATTTTGATAATTTTAAAGTTTAATTACTAAAAAAAACTTAGTAATATTGTTTTATTTCTTTTCATAATTATTTTTTATATTCATAATTTAAATGGTTTATAATGTTTGGTTTTTAGTTTATGTGGAAGAGTGTTAATGTGGAAAGTCTTACTGAAAACATTATCAATATTACGCTTGAAGAAAATATATCAAGTTAAAGTTCCAATATCGTTTCCCATGGCAATTGATAAAAATTGTAGGATTTTATTGTAAGAAAATGTGCAAAGTTTCACAACCTTGAAATATAGCTCCTTCCATGTTTGCAAATCCTTTGAACATTTGAGAATTTGTAATGTGTTAATGTATTTTCATTATACTTATTTTTTGGTATGTAACACTTGAAACACAGATGTATTTATGTTTTGAATGTGACAATGTATTGTATATATTAATTTAGTATTATGATTTTCATTTGATTATTTATTGATTTAAAATATATTTATTTATAATAGGTAACTGGTAGGATCATATTACCGATAATATTTTTGGGTCGGATTGTAGTTCCCGTTTATTTTAACGGGTGATACACGACATGATTCAGAAATATATTAAATATGACACAAACACGAAAATCACGACACGAATGCGGAACACTAGGGGTAAGTAAAGATATAACGTACTCACGTGGGTCTCACGCTAAAAGACAAAACCCCGCCCTCAGCTACCATAACTCCTCCCTCCCTCCCATCCTCCTCTCTCAATCTCACTCTCACTCATTCCCTCCCTCCCTCCCACCATGGCCACCACCATCAATGACCTGCCGGAGCCCATACTTTCCACCGTCATCACCTTAGTTTTCGACACCCGGACCAGGAACTCGCTCTCCCTTGTGTGCAAAAAGTTCCGGAGCATGGAGAGGGCCACGCGCACATCCCTCACGCTCCGGGGCAACGCCCGCGACCTCCACAGGATCCCGATTTGCTTCACGGCAGTCGCCCAGCTCGACCTCTCACACTTATCCCCATGGGGCCACGCTCTGCTCTCCCCCTCCGCCGCGAACACTGACCCTCTTCTCCTTGCCCAACGCCTCCGTGACGCCTTCCCATTCGTCACCTCACTCACAGTCTACTCCCGATTGCCCTCTATCGTCCAGATCGTCTCCCATCTGTGGCCGGGATTGCGCCGCGTCAAGCTCGTCCGCTGGCATCAACGGCCCCAATCACCCCTCGGCGCCGACTTCGATCCTCTGTTCTCGGCCTGTCAGTCGCTTTCAGAGCTCGACTTGTCAGAGTTCTACTACTGGACGGAGGACCTCCCGCCGGTTCTGGAATCCTATCCCAACGTGGCTCGATCTCTCACCAAGCTCAATCTCTTGACGACGTCGTTTACCGAGGGGTTCAAGGCCAACGAGATCAAATCCATCACGGCGGCGTGTCCGAAACTGCAACATCTCCTGGTGGCGTGCATGTTCGATCCGAGATACGTAGGCTTCGTCGGCGAGGAGGCGCTCTTATCGATCTCCACAAACTGTCCGGAGCTCAGAGTCATTCATTTGATCGATACGACGTCGCTGGCCAACGCCCACGGCGAGCCAGATGACGACGGTTACACCGCCGAAGACGCACGGGTCGGGCGGGCGGCGCTAATCGACTTCTTCTCGGGCCTTCCGCTGCTGGAAGAGTTGGTGCTGGATGTTTGTAAGAACGTGAGAGACAGTGGGTTGGCGCTGGAGGTGCTCGGGTCCAAATGCCCCAGGCTGAGGGCGCTCAAGCTGGGCCAGTTCCATGGGATTTGCTCGGCGATTGGGTCCAAGCTCAACGGCATTGCCCTATGTGCCGGGCTGGAGTCGCTGGCGATTAAGAACTCTGCCGATTTGACGGACATGGGGTTGATTGAGATTGCGAAAGGGTGTTGTAAATTGGCCAAGTTTGAGGTCCATGGATGTAAGAGAATAACGGTTAAAGGGTTGGGGACGATGGCCTGTTTGTTGAGGAAGACTTTGGTTGATGTCAGTATCTCTTGTTGCAAGAATTTGAATGCCGCGGGTTCGTTGCGGGCTCTGGAGCGCATTCGTGATCGGATTCAGCGCCTGCACATTGATTGCGTGTGGGAACCAGAGGATGCTCATGGCTTTGATCTGGATCAAGTAAATGTCGATGATTATGTTGGTGACGGCATTGCGGTGAATCGGAATGGTGATGATGGTGGCGATTACATGGACTTGAATTGGGCAGCTGAGTGCGAAAACAGAAGTAAGAAATGCAAGTTGGGGATGGATGGGGAGTGTTCCTATATGCCACCAAGCAATGGCAATGGCAATGGCAATGGAAACGGAAATGGGTTTTGGTACGGTGAGAGCTGGGAGAGGCTGCATTATCTCTCGCTTTGGGTTGGGGTCGGTGAGCTGCTGACTCCGTTGCCGTCGGTGGGTCTCGATGATTGCCCCAATCTTGAGGAGATTCAGATTCGGGTTGAAGGGGATTGCAGAGGAAGGCACAGACCCACACAGCGAGAATTCGGGTTGAGCTGCCTCGCAGGCTATCCTTGCCTGTCCAAGATGAAGTTGGATTGTGGTGACACGGTGGGTTATGCACTGACAGCCCCGCCAGGACAGATGGACCTTAGCCTCTGGGAGAGGTTCTTCCTGACTGGGATTGAAAGCTTGTGCCTAACGGAACTCGATTACTGGCCCCCGCAAGACCGGGACGTAAACCAAAGGAGTCTCTGGCTTCCGGCTGCGGGGCTGCTGTCGGAATGCGTGACATTGCGGAAGCTTTTCATCCACGGCACAGCTCATGAGCATTTCATGATGTTCCTTGTGAGAAACCCGAGCCTGAGGGATGTGCAGCTGAGGGAGGACTACTATCCGGCGCCCGAAAACGAAATGAGTACGGAGATGAGAGTGGATTCGTGTTGTCGATTCGAAGATGCACTCAACCGGCGCCCAATCCTTGATTGAACAAATCAAACTAATGATATGTAGTTTATGAAATCGGAGAGGAACAATGTACGAGTTCCCAACATCTTGTTCATGCCTCACTTTTAACGTTTTCAATTTTCCATCAAATAATATCTTTGTCATCGTTTTGACAACGCCAGACTCTTTACTAACATAAATAACCCTTGTCATTCTCTAATTACAAAAATTCAATTTAATCCGAAATCATTTTTACCTATTTAATTTAAATTTCATTGTTTCTTGTAGACAAAGATGATCTATGAAGTCCAACTTTAAAAAATAGACAAATCAAATCGGTAAAGCTGATGTGATGTAACCCCACAACTAATCTCCATTTAAAAAAATAATCAAAATCTCTTCCTTTAAAAAGCTCCTGTAAATAGTTGTCGAAAGCATTTTCCGAAGGTCCAACAGAAGCTCGTAAACAAGATTGTTTTTTTTTTTTTTTTTTTTTTTTTTTTTGATTGCACAAAAAGCTGAGTTGCAGCGGAGCATCGGAGGATGCAAAATTAAAAGCCAAAAAAAAAAAAAAAAAAAAAGGGAAATCAAATTTATGAGTCTACAAAAGATGAGAAATTGACAAGAGAAAGAGGACGAGGATACACCTTAAGCCGAGAATACAAAGTAACACCTCTACCATGTTTTCTATACACACAAAACATTGTATCAGCAGAGTGAGTACTCGCAGCCTAACAAGCGGGAGAGTATCTCCTCGCAGCTCGGTCGATCCTGCGGTTCCGTCCAACAATCTGTACAAACGTTGCAAAACTGTCAGCTCGGAAGCCTGATTATTCACGGTAAATGTATAAAGCTCGACATTTTTGTTATGGTTAAGCAATAGATCACCTGAAATAAGCCTGCCTAGGGGACCTTCTGGGATCTCCAACCGGGAACCTTCATTCGCGACAGCGTAAACTACCTGAATAGAAGAAAGCTAAATTTTTAACTAAAAAAACTTCTAGCTTTCTCAAAATACCAGGTGGTTAGATTGTACTAGCTATAGGTCAGAACAAGAGCGAAAATAATTAAGTCGTATACATCTTACTGACCCTCTCTGGTGGAACGCCTTCCCACGGTCTATTTAGAGTGCAGAGCTCCCACATTAAAACCCCAAGGCTGAAAATATCACATTTTTCAGTGAAGGGTTCATTTCGTATAAGCTCAGGTGCCATCCATTCCGGAGTTCCTGCAGACGATGAGTCCTTCATGTTTGTCTCGGACATTATTCTCGAGAGTCCAAAGTCACAGATCTTGACAGTCCAGTGCTTATTCACGAGACAATTTGCACTTTTTAGATCACGATGAACTATCTTCATCCGGTGCATGCACATCAACCCCCTTTAGTTGCAAACAGAAGATTCTAGTCACTACTTATCTATACTATAATATAAAACTGAGCAAATTTATCAAATTCTTTAACTTGAATGTACAAGCAGCCCTGTGGGATTTGGACAATGATAAGATCCTATATGCAGATTTAGCTACATCATCCAGAAATCTCATGAAATGCTGAATTCCCGAGTTCATCCTATCAAAACATTGAATGGTACCTAGCATACGGAATCTTCTATCCTACACAACTGCTAAGAAATCATGCAAACTGAGATGACGTAAGCTCAAATTGGTTTTGTATTTCTGTGTTGAACGTTTAGAGACAAAAACCAAAAGAAAGTACAGAAATATTTCAAGCATTCGTCAACATATAGGACCTAACCGCCTTAATCAGAATGATAACATGTCGATAGGCATGACTAAGAAACTGTCGATTTCAGAGCTACAGTTGTTTATCATTTAGCAGCTAGTAAGTCTGAATTTACGAACCAAAAGCCATAGATAGTGTATAGTTATACACATGTCAGTTCTCTTTAGGATTCAGATAAGTATAACGAAAAGCATGTACCAACAAATTTATGTTCTGGAAGTGTAATGAATGGATTTTAGGAGCTTGAAATAATGGAACAGCACACATGTTCTTGGGAATAAATGTGTGCTGTGAATTTGTTTTTTCATAAATCATGGATAGCAAGTACAGACCTGCATATGTCACGCAACATTTTTAGTCTCCTTCGCCAGCTAAGCTTCTTCTTCTGGCCACTCAAATGAATCAAATAATACAAAGATCCCATCTCCATGTATTCTGTAACCATTGATAAGCGTGGAGGCTTTGTGCATGCACCCAGAAATAGAATAACTGCAGAAAACATCACATTCAATTCCAGAGCAGTATAAAATAAGGAAAATATACATCAGTATTTATCTACAATCTACTATATTTCCACCGTATACAAACAACCATATACAAATGAAAAATGAAAAATGGAAGGTATAATCAGAACAGAAAGTACCATTAGGATGCCGAAGGCGACTGGATACCCACGTACAAAAAGGGGGAAAAACATAGAGCACATTAGAAAACTATATGGATAATAAAATAAAAACCCGCAGCACAAAATAAAAAAGCAGTACAATGATCAAGGTATTTTTGAGAAATACCTAAGAATGGATATCTCATTGCAGAAGTCTTCCATGTTTTCAGCAGTTAGGTCTTGCTCTAAGAAAACCTTTATTGCGACATCTGTTCCATTCCAAACGCCTCGAAAGACTTCTCCAAAGAACCCTAAATGCAGAAGCAACCAAAAAAAAAAAAAATTCAATCAACTAAAACTGTATTTTTAATTTTTCCGGATGAAAATTTAGATGCTTTTCCAAGGAAAGTTGAGCTTCATCGTATATTAACATCACTATTATTATTTTTTTGGTGCGGCTTGTACACAAAACCTTACAAATTGCAAGGAGATGTCGGGCATGTAAAAAAGCAGCCTGAAATTCATAAGCTTTCTTAGGGAGTTACCAGGGTTAAAGGAGCACACTTTGCTACTAAAGGACCAAATCCAATTATATTTTTCCCGACCTTTCTTTTATTCTCCCAACTTATTCTCCTAATTCTCTACATTTAGGAAAAAATTGAGGAAGATGGGTATTTCATCCCACTATTATATCTTTATTTATCTAACGATGTGATGATTTGTGTAATAAAATAAAGAATTCTTCAAAATTGAAAAAGAGAGGAAAAAACAAAAAACAAAACAAAAACAAAGTAGAAACAACATTAATAACAAACACTCCTTTCTTTTCATAACAAACTCATTTCTTTTACCTCACGAAACAGATGGGTTCTCACTTATCAAGCCAACATCATAGTGAAGTATTGTATGTTAAACAAGTGATTCTTACCTATTCCAACACGAGTTCCAACAGTCAATTCTGAGAAATCAATATTCCATTCCTGGTAAGGCAATAGAGGCTTATTATCAAATGTGGCGGACTCCAGAATTCTGTTCCATGTTAGGACCAATTCATCATATCTCGTGAACTCTGAAGGTCCAATTCTATCAGAAGTTTGACTTCTGTACTGATGTGGAGATGAAGGTAATGACATTGCTTTTTGAGAACTGATTTGGTCCTGGGGAAGCAAACGTATAGCAATCTTCAATCAGAAAATTCACCATAATCATCTAAAGGAAAATTTGAAACACGAGGTAACAAAAAAATTAAAGCTCCGAAGCTGACATTAATTGCTTCATTATAAACTGTTGAAAAAAAAAAGTTATTTTACAATCTTAGAGAGTATAATGATAAATTAAAAGGGGCACTCCAAATATCTCATTGTGCACTCCAAACTTTTATATTTAGATAAAAAATAAAAATAAAAAAAATAAAAGAATACTCATGAGGATTGCACAATGACATTTTTGGAGTGCCAAAAACAGTTTCCCAATTAAAACAATAAATAAATAAAAATATGAGCACTTAAGTTGTTAGTATTTGATGCTTGGAAATCATCCACATCTATCCAATGCAAGGTACACAAGTGAGAAACAAGATCCATGAAAATGAAAATTTTAGAGTCAACATTAAAATTTCCTATGACATCTTGAATTTAATTAACTTGTGTTGCCTATCATATGCATCTCTCATTCACCTAGGAGAGTAGTCAAGAAAAGTAGGTTACCGGTTGTTTATTAAAAATCATGTTCCCTCTTAAGATTGAATAGGAATGCGTTACTATTATTACCTTTAGGCTTTACGCTATGCCTTTAGTCATTACATTACTTCATAAGTGAACAGGTAGATTCAAAGTAGGGAGGGCAGCAAGACTAGAGCACTAATTAGAAAAGGGGTTATTAACTACATTATGGAATGAAGATCCAGGAGTAGTTGTGCACCGGATGTGGAAGCAATGCGAATAGTTGACGAGGAGGTTATAGATGGGTAGAGGAGACCACAATGCAAGACATAACAACAGAATTTGTTAGATGTAAGAACAAAGTCAGTTCAAAATTTCATGCATCTGACGACTGGGAAACAAGACTTCATTTAATGCGTATATATAAACACACAGAAACATACATAAAGATTTAGATTTATACAATTACAAATTGCAGGCTTAAGAAATACTGTATATCCAGAGTTTAAGCTACTAGTAAAGATGCCACACCAAAATAACAAGCATATATCCATCCACCAGCCAGGTGATCAGACTCAAAGCCCAAAAATAATGAAACTAGGAAAACACACAAAATCTAAAACAAACAAACAGTGCAGTTACCAAGTTGACTGTCCTCCCTTCAGAACACAAGCATAACGATTGATTTCCAAATAAAAAACCATATTTTCACCATGGGCTTATCATAATAGCATGCTCAGAGCATTGACAAATTTTGATTTCATGTAGCTGTGCTTCAGTTACTGCAATGAAGAAACGTACATTTTTCTGAAGAGCAGATCTGTCATCCTCACCCTGCTCTCTCAAAAGTCGATTCTGCTTCAATGTTTCATTCATTGCTCGCACAGCCCTACATAGTTCATTAGATTCATAGTTATTAATTGTACAAACATATCCAAAAATCAGATAAAATAACATTCTCTTTATGGTCCATCTCATTCAGGCATTATTCTCTAGTTAGAGCTGAGCGTGTCCACATGAACAATACACTAGACCGCCAAATATTCACATCAACAAATTTTCATACCTGGCCAGAGATAATATTTACAAGAAACTAGGCTTAAGAACAAAAACTGGCCACTGACTACTCCATGTTGGTTAAGCAGAACTAAGTATACTAGTTTTATTTGAACATTCAAGCAAAAAATTTTACATCACACAGTAAATGCTTTCTATTGATAGGAAATGACAATTTTGAAGAAAGAAAGAAATTATGTATACAACGTTATGCTAAACCTTGCCAACCAAAGCAAAACAAGCAGCACTTAGTACAAAATACTAGACCAGTCCAGAGAGATAACTCTCAGTACATGTGGAATAACAAAACTAATTTTCATGATAAAAGAGGTGAACAAAAAGTGATATGATTGCAGTGATGCTCCAATTGATTTGCTACTGTATCAGCTCCAGGTACGCTAAATGTGGCCATCACTTCTGTGATGCTGGGACTCAAAAACTACATGTTAACTTGGCCTTTGGTGTAAGGTGCAACAGTGCAATTGTCAATAATCTACACGACATCATTTGCCTGATGGTGATTTCCCATGGCTCCTCACGTTAGCAAAGCACCTCAGAGCACCAGGGATCAATACCCATTCTACCACAACAACAACAACAACAACAACAAAGCCTTTTCCCACTAAGTGGGGTCGGCTATATGAATCCTAGAACGCCATTGCGCTCGGTTTTGTGTCATGTCCTCCGTTAGATCCAAGTACTCTAAGCCTTTTCTTAGAGTCTCTTCCAAAGTTTTCCTAGGTCTTCCTCTACCCCTTCGGCCCTGAACCTCTGTCCCGTAGTCACATCTTCGAACCGGAGCGTCAGTCGGCCTTCTTTGCACATGTCCAAATCACCGGAACCGATTTTCTCTCATCTTTCCTTCAATTTCGGCTACTCCTACTTTACCTCGGATATCCTCATTCTCAATCTTATCCTTTCTCGTGTGCCCACACATCCCACGAAGCATCCTCATCTCTGCTACACCCATTTTGTGTACGTGTTGATGTTTCACCGCCCAACATTCTATGCCATACAACATCGCTGGCCTTATTGCCGTCTTATAAAATTTTCCCTTGAGCTTCAGTGGCCTACGACAGTCACACAACATGCTGGATGCACTCTTACACTTCATCCATCCAGCTCGTATTCTATGGTTGAGATCTCCATCTAATTCTCCGTTCTCTTGTAAGATAGATCCTAGGTAGCGAAAACGGTCGCTTTTTGTGATCTTCGCTAAATTGCTCCGGTCATTAGTGTGGATAAGTATATAAATGGATAGAGATAGGAAAGCAAACACAAGATGTACGTGGTTCACCCAGATTGGCTACGTCCACGGAATAGAAGAGTTCTCATTAATTGTGAAGGGTTTACACAAGTACATAGGTTCAAGCTCTCCTTTAGTGAGTACAAGTGAATGATTTAGTACAAATGACATTAGAGTACAAATGACATTAGGAAATATTGTGGGAGAATGATCTCGTAATCACGAAACTTCTAAGTATCGGAGTGTGGTATCATCTTGACTTGCCTTATCTGTCTCATAGGTAGATGTGGCAGCTTCTCTGGAAGTACTCTTCCTCCATCCAGGGGTGGTATCTTTAACTGGTGGAGATGCACAAGGTAATGTATCAATTTCACTTGAAGCTTACTTGTAGTTTCAGGCTTGGTCAAGCGCGATACAAACCATGTAGTAGGAGTCCCCCAAGTCGCCGAGCTAGGGGATTTGCTGAAAGAGGTGACAGACAAGGTAAGCAATCAGAGCTCCGGCTGATTGTTCACCTTCTCCCCATCTTGCAGCAGCATGAAGGATAAAGAGAAGAAAAATGAGAAGAGATGATATGGGATACTTTTGCTTTTGAAGAAGTAACTTTCCACAGGCTTATTCTTGAACTGAGCTGGAGGGTTTTCTGGTTTCCTCCAGAGTATAAGGCCGACTGAAGAATTTGAGGGTCAAAACAAGTCCATCAAATCTAGAGTACGTTCGACCCTGCTGATATGGGATACTTTTGCTTTTGACAGAGTAATGGATGGATCGGCACGTGTGCTGTTACGCTTGTCTCCACATGCTTCCTTGTATCCTTCGCACTTGCCCTATCTGTTCCTCAAGCAGATGCGGTATCTTCCCTGGCAACATAAGATGTTGAAGATGAGTACTCGAGAGCAATGCCAGGTAAGTAATCAGGTAAGGGGTTCCAGGCTGTCAGTTCCTGGCTGGGAGCTTGATTTCAAGTGCTGACTGATTGCTCTCTTTCTCCTTGTCTTGCAGGTAAAAAACAAGGCCAAAGGAAAAGACAGGGAAAAAAGCATGATATGGGATACTCTTGCTTTTAACCCTGATGATATGAGATATTCTTGCTCTCTAGTATAGCTTGTTTGCAGAGGTATTATCGGGGGGAAAGAAAGCTGAATATTTCGAAAGGCTTCGTTGGGAGTGCCCTCTCAGATAAGAGAAAGGGTTGAGCATTTTTGCAGGTCTGCCTGTCCGTTGGGGATGGAGGTCGACATATATAGGAGTCTCCCTAACAACAAGTAGTAATGCTATTCCTTTACCCTGCTTGGTCATAGCACGGTAGTGGTAGCTGCCAGCTTCACATGTTTTAACTCTGTCAGAGCACTTTGAAAAAGTGGTATGTGGTATCTGGCTCTCGAGATTCAGAGAACGATGCTTCTTCGATTTTTGAGAAAGCAATCATGGTGGGGGTCTGGCTCTCGAGATTCGGGGAGCAGTCTCTTCGATTTTTGAGAAAGTAATCATGTTGGGAGTCTGGCTCTCGAGATTCGGAAGGCGGTGCCTCTTCGATTTTGGAGTAAGCAATCTTGTTGGGAGTGTTTTCTCGGATGTGAGTAAAGGTTGGGCATGTTTGCTAGTCTACCTTGCCACGAAGCACGGAGGTTGACACACAGGGACTTTCCAATTATCCAACAGTGGTACTGTTCCTTTACCCTTGTGGGTAATAATATGGTAGCTAGACCTTCAAAATTTATGTGTCTAAACTTTGTTAGTGCTGTTTCTTTGCTATTCTTTTACCTTTCTTGGTCAGAGCGATGTAGTGGGAGCTGCAAGCTTCACGTGCTTCACGTGCTCAACTTTGGCAGAGACTTTGACAAAGTTATCTGTGGTACCCATGAGCTATTGTTGCGTGTGGGAAGTGGGTGATTGAACAGTAAGATTCATGTGCTTTCTACTTCACCAGAAGTCTTCGACAGAATGCCCATAATTTCCGCAAAGCTGAGTGTGCGTGTGACAGGTGCTGACAAGGCTAGAAAAGAAGGTGCCTCTTCGATTTCTGAGATCGGCCCTCGTGGTCTCTGAGCAGCCCAGCTTTTGAGAAAGCGAGCGCCTCTTCGATTGATTCGGAGAACGATGCCTCTTCGATTTTTGAGAAAGCAATCATGCTGGGGGTCTGGCTCTCGAGAGATTCGGGGAGCAGTGTCTCTTCGATTTTTGAGAAAGTAATCATGTTGGGAGTCTGGCTCTCGAGATTCGGAGGGCGGTTGCCTCTTCGATTTTGGAGCAAGCAATCTTGTTGGGAGTGTTTTCTCGAATGTGAGTAAAGGTTGGGCATGTTTGCTAGTCTACCTTGCCACGAAGCACAGAGGTTGACACACAGGGACTTTCCAATTATCCAGCAATGGTACTGTTCCTTTACCCTCTCTTCGATTTTTGAGAAAGTAGTCATGTTGGGAGTCTGGCTCTCGAGATTCGGAGGACGGTGCCTCTTCGATTTTGGAGCAAGCAATCTTATTGGGAGTGTTTTCTCGAATGTGAGTAAAGGTTGGGCATGTTTGCTAGTCTACCTTGCCACGAGGCACAGAGGTTGACACACAGGGACTTTCCAATTATCCAACAGTGGTACTGTTCCTTTACCCTTGTGGGTAATAATATGGTAGCTAGACCTTCAAAATTTATAGGTCTAAACTTTGTTAGTGCTGTTTCTTTGCTATTCTTTTACCCTTCTTGGTCAGAGCGATGTAGTGGGAGCTGCAAGCTTCACGTGCTCAACTTTGGCAGAGAACTTTGGCAAAGTTATCTGTGGTACCCATGAGCTATTGCTGCGTGTGGGAAGTGGGTGATTGGACAGTAAGATTCATGTGTTTTCTACTTCCCCAGAAGTCTTCGACAGAATACCCATAATTTCCGCAAAGCTGAGTGTGCGTGTGACAGATGCTGACAAGGCTGGAAAAGTAGGTGCCTCTTCGATTTCTGAGATCGGCCCTCGTGGTCTCTGAGGAGCCCAGCTTTTGAGGAAGCGAGCGCCTCTTCGATTTTTGAGATCGGCTTTCGTGGTCTTTGAGCAGCCCAACTTTTGAGAAAGCAAAACACCTCTTCGATTTATGAGATCAACCCTCGTGGTCTCTAAGCAGCCCAGCTTTTGAGAAAGCAAACGCCTCTTCGATTTCTGAGCAGGCGCCTCTTCGATGTCTGAAGCTCCGTCGAGTGCAGCTTTTTATAGGGGCTGGCATTAAGTTCCAAAGCACACTTGAATCTCCACCAGTAGAAGCTCCATTCTTGCACTTCTAAGATCTTGATTTGTCCGACCTCTTCTCTCTTCAATACCTTTGAAAATGTCTGGCCCCTCCGACCGTCGTTTTGACTTGAACCTTGTTGAAGAGGCAGCCCCGCCTTCTCCAAACAACATATGGCGCCCATCCTTCGTCTCCCCTACTGGTCCTCTTACCGTTGGGGATTCCGTGATGAAGAATGATATGACCGCTGCGGTGGTGGCCAGGAACCTTCTCACTCCCAAAGATAACAGACTACTTTCCAAACGGTCTGATGAGTTAGCTGTTAAGGATTCACTGGCTCTCAGTGTTCAGTGTGCAGGTTCTGTGTCTAATATGGCCCAACGCCTATTTGCTCGAACCCGCCAAGTTGAATCATTGGCGGCCGAAGTGATGAGTCTCAAACAGGAGATTAGAAGGCTCAAGCATGAGAATAAACAGTTGCACCGGCTCGCACATGACTATGCTACAAACATGAAGAGGAAGCTTGACCAGATGAAGGAAACTGATGGTCAGGTTTTACTTGATCATCAGAGATTTGTGGGTTTGTTCCAAAGGCATTTATTGCCTTCGTCTTCTGGGGCTGTACCGCGTAGTGAAGCTCCAAATGATCAACCTCTGATGCCTCCTCCTTCTAGGGTTCTGTCCAGTACTGAGGCTCCGAATGATCCCCCTCCGATGCCTTCTCTTTCTGGGGCTCTACCGACTGCTGAGACTTCTCCTAAGCAACCTTTGTGAAGGCTCCATCTTGTTTGTTTATTTTGACTCATGTATATGTACATATTTGTAGCTTATCGGGGATATCAATAAATAAGTTTTCCTTCATTTCAACGTATTGTGTTAAATACACCAAAGCCTTCTTCGCTAAGTTCTTTGAATTTTCTTTTGTTGAAGCTTGTATGTTGAAGCTTTCTGAGTGGAGCATGTAGGTTGGGGTAGTGTTCCCTTAATTTTTCGAGTGAGGAAAACTTCTCGGTTGGAGACTTGGAAAATCCAAGTCACTGAGTGGGATCGGCTATATGAATCTTAGAACGCCATTTTGCTCGGTCCTGTGTCATGTCCTTCGTTAGATCCAAGTACTCTAAGTCTTTTCTTAGAGTCTCTTCCAAAGTTTTCCTAGGTCTTCCTCTTTCAACAAATATTTAAGAATCACAATCAAATACAAGAGGAAAAACAAATCCTAACAGCATAAAGACAATATAACAAGGAAAAAGGCATAATAATAACCAATAATTTTTTAAAGGTAACCAATAAACTGAAATGAAGAATGCCAAAATATATTTACCAGGAGAAAAAGATCAGCTTATGCACAATGGAGTAAGTTCAGTGAAATCGACAAACTATAGGAAGCAAAGACCTTTTGAAAATAATGAAATAAACATCAACCTTACGATATCATCACCAATCTCTGGAGTAATACTCATGCTTCTTCTTCTTAATCTGCGAGCTTCTGATGTTGATGCACCATCTGACCTGTAGCTACAATCAAGAATTGAACACAAGTTTAAGACCACACACACACACACACACACACGCACACACATATATATATATATATTATTTCTTTAAGATGTGTAGATTGAGCTGTGAAAGAAACATCGCATACAAGCTAAAGCAAAGATTAATCACACAAAATTATCCAATGCAAAACTCAGCAGACAATGTAACATCAACCTGTTAGGGATGCAACTAGTTGAGCACAGGAGACAATGAGAGGAATATAATGAACAATTTAACAAAAAAGATATAGAAATATGGGAATACAAGCATTAATTTTATATACCTGAAGTCACTTCACTGGGTTTTTACATTTTATCTTGAACTGAAACCCTCAAATCAAGGAGGGATCAATTCCAATACTGTCTTTTTCTGGCCTATCTGAATAAACAAGGGATAGCTTTTGGGCCCAAGCTTGGTTTAAGATTACTGATTATGTAATGTCTGTAAGAAATATATGCTCCAAAGTCATATGCCTAGTTTGACCCTATAAATTGCACCCAACATGTTGTCATTCGCAGGATGCAATTCCATTCCAACTATTCCCCCACCCAATCTTGTAAACATGAAAATTATAAGGCAATCAATAATGTTCATTGGTTAAGTAATAAGACCGCAATTAATATCCACTGCCTCAGCGCAGAAGAAACTTGTGGATTATTCACTAAAGCATTCATCAAAGTTTCTATACAAAGGGGTACAATAGAATTAATCGATATAAAACCTTGAGGTAGGCATGTCATCAGCATAATCTCTAAAAGATTTCCTATCACCACTGAGCATGGACCGCCCACGTGCTCGGAATGAAGGATGCTCTGGACTGAAAAACCAGAAAGACAAAAAGGAATAACTACAACGGCAACCATATGCAATGACATTGCTTAAAGAGTAAAAGGTCATCCTAAAACAGCAACTTTAGACATGGGCCAGAAAAATACACAATATCATGGAAAATCTTGGAGACCATCTAAAGAACAAAAAAGAAGTATCTGACCTGAAAATTCATGTTAAAAATGCAAGCATTTCTATGAGCATGCTATTTATACATCTATGAGCATGCTATTTATACAGCAATGGCACCAAAAAGCTAAATCTTGATTCACAAGAATATTATCCATCCTAAATATAACTTGAACAATATAAACTATCACAATTGATAGAGACCATGTAGTCCATCAAGAAGTCTGCACCTTATTGGCATTATTGGGAGATTAAGCGAAAAGATGGCACCATATATACATGTATTGTCTGACTATTATTTTGTGAGACAGGGTTAGTATATTTTTATAGCCTCGGTTACCTAGGTCACTAATAAAGTTGGACAAGTAGTACAATCGCCAACTGAACTTTCTATTTATATACTGGACAAACAGTTCCAGTAACACTTAGTAAAGCACTGACTTGAAGCAACCACAAGATTTTCTCTCATCAAACCCATCACTACTACTTACAACGCCCAAAAAAACTCTGCCAAATACAGTGACCTATATTTTAGGGTCACCGCTTTTCTATAACCATAATAAGATACCAAATCTGTTGTTACTCAAAGGTCCCTTACCTAATAGTTTTGAACAATTAATGAGAAACTAGAGATAATAACAGTTTGAGAATATAGATCAACAATCACACCCAGCAAAAAATTAAATATCAAAATTACTCGAATGATAGGGAAAATCACGTTCGACTTTTTTTCTATTCTTTTTGTCTTGAAATATCGTGGTTTGGTTCAAGATAGCATAGAGAAATTGGTATACATGATGGTAGTATTATTGTCATCTATCCAGAGAAATGCACCCAGAAAAGTGCCGCACAGATACGCGCAACCCATCTGACATAAGTAATATGAAAATTCTATCTCTAGCTCCAGGGCTCTCTAACTTGAACATCATTAAGACGCATCTTATGAACAGTATCCCAAGGGCTTACAATAAGCCATCTGTAAACAAGAGGACAAACTAAAAGATGCACTGAAATACAGCTAAAACCACAAGTGAAGCAGACCATATTATGCTAAAGATAAGACAACTTTTTGAGAGAGAGAGAGATCACAGTGCTATCTTCTGAAAAAAGAAAATCAAGTTTTGGCATCTGGAATAAAAGTTTGTCACTTCACTTTACTTATCAATATGTAAATTCAACACATGAATTACTGGAAACCAGGTTGAGTTTATTGTCAAAGGTAGCTTGTATGATTTCATTTTTATCTCGTCCCTTACATAAGACAACTCAGTAGAGTCAAGTTCCTACTAGTCAAATCATGACACAATGCAATTATAAATATAAAAATGGGGGTACTAAGGTCCTAGATCCGCACCAAAACATGATCTATCATCATGATTTACAGGAGCCTTGAATCTTTAAAACTTACGAAATTAAACTTGAAAGGCATCTTTGAAAAAACACATTAGGATTAAGAAAAACCTTGAACTAGCAGTCCGCTGTTCAGCAATGGCCGTCCTCCGACTACGCCGACAAAATGTAGTTGCAATGTTGGGTTCACTATGTGATAAACTGAGGAGGGATTAATAAATTAATTCAATAACAAACAACCCAGTCCCGTGCATTAGAGGTTCAAAATCAAGCAAATTAAATAACGAACAACCCAGAGTCCCATGCATTAGAGGTTCAAAATGAAGCAAATGGCAAACAATAGGACAAACTTAACGAGAAGAAAAAAATACACACACGGAATGGGATGGTTGTAGGAAAAAGCCATTTGAGAATTAGAGTTTGACTTGTCAGTTGCCAAGACAGGAAACATAAATCACCTCAGTTTTCTTTCCATGGAAGTAATTGATCGCAACATCATATTTTGTAATGAGGGACCTTGTGCATTCGAGGGCACATCAAATCTACCTCGGAACTGAGGGCTATCATCTTTTTCAGCACTGCAACAGAAAAAATATGAAACACCTCAGTTTTCTTTGTAGCGCATGCTTGCAACAACATCAAGCATCACAGGTTCCAAAGTTCTAATTTTGTACCAATTTAGGATTTACAATCCACATCAGCTAACCTGTCAGGATCCACTCTCTCTGAGAATCCATATAGAGGACTGTTCGGTTCTAGTGGTGAATCGCACGAGTCATTCTCTGCACTATCACTCTCCCCGGCTGCAGAAATATGGGTCAAAAAAATTGCCTTGGTTGATCTGGGTAACAGCTTACCAGGAAACCGCATCAGGTCAACCAATAATTCAACAGAGTTCAATACAACTACCACCGACATATGCTTATATGAATCTGCAGACTCAACGACTCCATCAATAGGCAATCCCTGACACAAAAAAGAAACACAAGGAGGGAAAGACAGCATTTCACATTTCAGTGCTAGTCATGATTGAGAACAGTAAAAACTTATGGCATATATTTGACAATTTCTTTATCATTTCGCTGGAAACTGTATAAAATCCATGAAATAAATAAATAAAAAATCAAACTACAACAGTTAAACACCATCAAATAAATGAAAAGCTTACCACCATTAGCCTACTTTCAAGACCTACGGTGTCCGCCAGAACTTTGAATAAGATTGCTCTAGGACGGCATGAACCATGTTTTATTTGCCCCAAAAGTTGAACTCCTCGATTCTCAAACATGTGGGAGGTTTCTTCAAGTGCAGCTTTTGCTGGACTTTCTGCATTTGGCCTCTTATAAAAATCGGAAACCTGTGTAGGCATCGCAGACAAAGTTAAATCATCTTCCTAATGATGTAAATATGTCCTAAATTATTAATCAAAGAAATCACAACAAGTGCTTATGGGGTGAAGTGCTGATTTAGTCCCTGAACTATCACCTTATTGAAAATTAAGTCCCTGAATTATTTTTTTGGTCAAATAAGTCCCTAAATTCATTAAAAATTGCAACTTTCATCCCTACTATTATATTTAAAGCTATTTTATCCAAACTTAAGTCACTTGACACACTTTAGAGTGTAATACTATCCTTTTCTCGCCTATAAGCCCTTAACATTTCATATAGGTTGTAACGTCTAATTGACCCTCCAAAGTTAACTCCATTCACTATTTCTTTATGCAAAACTACCAATCTACCCTCCACTGTGTATCACATGCAAGTAACGTGACTTAAATTGACGGAAAATTGAATATAGTAGCTTCAAATTTAATATTAGGGATGTAATTGGCAGATTTTTATAATTCAAGGACTGATTTTTCTGAAAAAAAATAGTTTAGGGACCTAATTTTTACTCAGGTGATAATTCAAGGACTAAATTGGCAGTTCACCCTATGAGATATATATAAGTAGAGCAGAATAGTTAATCTAACATCAGGTTTTAGATAACACATATTCCATGATTCAGCTCTCATGTATGTTTATTTGTATATGTAACTGATGAAGTTATATGAATAGGAAAAGAGAACGTAGCATCAGTCCAAAACCAGGTAGCATATCTACATGGCATTGTGATTCATCATTCATATCTAGGTTATGATCATAAAGACATGAATGGTATTAGTACAACATGTAAGTGGCAGTCTTTGACAGTTGAAAACATTAGAGGGAAGGCATAAAGGAATGAATCAAACAGAAAAAATAAGATCAATGAAGAGAGTGTGTACTCAAGGTAACTTCAACATGGATCCATACAAACAAATAAATTACTTACCAATCCAGCAATCTTTTTTATCATTTCAGCTGGATATGAGTTCAATCCTTTCACCAGAGCCACAATAAGTTGCTTCAGCATGGACAGCTTTTTGTCCTTTGCAGTATCTACAAGAATGACATTGGCTCTCAAACCCTCTGCCTCAAGAGCATGAAGCTCATCAAGAGTAGGAATATCATCAAAGATCTCCTTGAGCCTTTTCTCCTGTATATTGTCATATTTAATCAATTGACATGATCAAGTGTCGACTACCAGTAAACAGGTGAAAATGAATCAAAATAACCAAAGACAATGATAGTTACAAGTGGATAGTACACCACTAATAAATCAGCAATATATTGTTAATGTTGCACTTATCTGCATTTGTGCATATACTCTTTTGAACAAGCGAGTGGTGTATTTAAGGTTTCTTGACATTTTGAAAGTAAGGGAAAAATTAATCAGAATGTTTCTTGGAAATTGTTTAAAAGTGTGCACGCGAACAGACAACACAAGTACCACTGCACCTAAAACTTCCAAATCTTTATTATCTGTCAAAGAAAATCTTCCCTTAAACCCAAAAAGAAATATCTGATGGTATGAATATTTACAAGAACAATATGAGAAAAAAACAAATAGGAGGCATTTTCTTTGTAAAACCACATCCATCTCTCAAATACCCAGGTTCCAACATTGACTACACAAGATGTGACAGGAAGCAAGAATAAGAACAGCAATTAATTAACGAAACAACAAAAAGAAAATAACAATTAAGTATCACTAACAATTAATCTCACCGGAATGACAAAATAGAAACCATTGGGAATCGGTTCTAAAAGCATTCCAGTTTGCCATACAACTTGTGATGCCTTCTGGGACGACAACACATCTTGATCCGAACTTCTAGGTGATTCAGTACTACTCAATGATTCTTCTTGGGATCCCAAAGAAACAGATCCAAATTTGTCCACGAAATCTGAAGGCCACCATGAAGCATTTGGAGGCTTTTGCTCTGCTGGCCCTGTATCATCTCGTGTCTCCTTCATGTCTTTAACAATCTGAAATTCAAAACCATTTCGCCCCCACTTCTTACCCCATAAAAGATATCATTAACCTAACAGCATTCCTTACAAAAGAACGAATTCCAAAATTTAATTGCAATGACTTCTTCAAGCTGGAGGTCATAAGACCTGCAAAATACATGAAAGGCCAATGTTTGACATCAGAAAGGACAATTTACAAGTAAAATATTAGAGATCACCATAGAAAGGCATGACAGTCTTCTGAAGAAACCACCAAAAGTCTAGCAGAATATACAAGAAGAGAAAAATGAAATCTTGTTCAAGCAAGAGTTTGTCAAAATTATGTAAAATTGCAAATGATTTAAGGTAAAAAAAATTCCATAGTCATGATACTACATAAGCTAGTTAAAATTTCAGAATAAACTAACATACTTATAATTTTCTTCAAGTGCTTTCATAAATTTTAGTGGCAAATAATACCATTACTCCATAGCTTCACAACTAAACGAGTATAACACACAACTAAAAATTGCCATGACACTTCAAAGGCATCCTGAAAAGCCTCCATCTTCTGCTACAATTACTGTCCTGTTTTTGTCCAACTCAGCATCTAGATCAATCAACTTCGTATTCAACTAACTATTATATCACCTAAAATTTAATGGAAGTGGAAGAGCATGAGAAATATTGGAAGGCAATCCGCAAACCTAAACACATTCCCAAGCCACACCAACCTCAAGGAATACATGAGCGAAAACAACCTACCTATATTTCCATTAAAAAAAACAGCCAACCTATATAGCCAACCATCTGCTGGGCATCCAAATATAACTTCTAGGGTTATGCCTCAAATGAAACCGAAAGCAATTAGCAACTAAATACCTTTACCAAGTCACACCAACAACACTTAATGAAATTGAAACCTCGATGATGCATCAATAACAAAAGGTAAACCCTCAATTTTTGACATTTATAGCACGGCAATGCTATTTTTCTCGTCTCCTATCCCTCAGGTTGCACCCATTGCCACCGAAAAGTACGTACTAGGGGGCAAAAGGTACCTCTCCAAAAACACCATTTGAAGAGAACCCGTGTCATCACCACAAAGATAACCAGTTTTCGTCTGGCCTCAGCACACAAGCAGTTGGATTTTCTCACCCGAACCGGACCAACACATACTTCAAATTCAAATTACTTCAAAAAGACCTGATTACACAATGCTCCTCCTCAGTCACTCCAAATCGCCAATTCGGTTACACTCGAGCCCCACATTTTCTACACAAAATCTAAATCTAGCTCCCACTAATCCATCAACACACAATTCGACATCTCAAAAACTCACAAATCAACCATTCCACGGAAACAATGCAGGATCAAGAAGCCGAGACGAATTACAAACAAAATTGAAAAGAAAGCAAGAATTTACCACCAGCAGATCCGAGCATTTGAATCCCAATCCCCTCTTTGATGCAGTAGCATTTGAATCTCAATTCCTCCTCATCTCATATCGCCCCCCACGTCAAACCCTCACAGATTCCCGACGAAACGACCAAATTTACGTACCTGTGTAGACGACGTATACGTGGATTCAAAAGAAACCTCTCTCCGATATATATATATATATATATATAGAGAGAGAGAGAGAGAGAGAGAGAGTGTGTGTGTGTATGTGTGTGTGTGTGTGTGTGTGTGTGCGGGTACGTGATGCAAACGAGGAAGAAATGAACGAGAGAGAGAGAGAGGAGAGAGGAGAGAGGAGATAGGGGAAAGCGATGGGGTTTTGGAGAGAAAGGGAGGGAGGGAGAGAGGGAGGTGGTAGTCACGTGCAGAGTGAGGGGGGATCTGGGGACCTCTCCCCGACAGCCAGCTGGCAGAGAGGGTGGCTCACCAACATCCACACCTTTCATCCGCGTGAAACACCCTTTTCTCTTTTAAAACCTTTATTGTCATATTAATTACTACTTTTTTTTTTGGGAGGAATTAATTACTACTTATTTAATAACAAACAACAATTGACATCCGATGCTGCAAATAGCAGTTCTTTTTTTTTTTTTGGTCAAACAAATTGGGGTTCATTCCAAACAATTTTCTCGTTCTAAAAAATAGAAAGAAAAAAAACTAATTTCCATAAGTTTGTACATGTTAAACTGTGAATCATATCGAATCGAAGAAAAAGAGATACTTACATCATAGAAGAAGGAAAAACAAAGTGTTACTCAATGGTTAGAGTTTATTTAAAATTCATGTAAATTATTAAAAGAAATATCTGAAATAATTGAGTTTTTTTTCCTCAAAAATATATTTTATTATAATCGAATAGAAAATTTTACTGCAAATTATTGAGTAAACACAGGTCTGATAGTACTCCTTAATTATTTTTTTTTGGTAAATTACAGTTTAATATGTTAGAAAAACATATCTAAAGCGTTCTATGAATACGTTAAACAGAAACCGATAAATAAGAACGGCTACTTCAAAAAACTCTAAATTAACTATACGTTCAAGTATTTTCTGATAAATAATTAATTAGTTATTTTTATAGTTAGAAAAAAAAACACTTTTGAAAATTGTATACTAAGGAATTTTTTTAACAAATAATAGTATCTACACTAAAAGGTGAGAAAATAGGTTAAATCTTATTATTTTTAACGAAAATCAAATATAATAAAAAAGAACGCTACTAAAATGTAGTAAATGAGAATTCCAACAAAATAATTAAAAAAAGGTGAGAAGCGTGAAAAGTAGTAGAAGATATAAATAGGCAAACAACAACCACAGCAAAACACTACCTGTCTTCTACCACCCTCACCTGTAATTTAGTGTACCAAGGGGTACAGCTGCTTTGCTGGACCTAGCTAATCAATCAATACTTGCCCCTATGGCAGCTTACTTCAAAACTCCAACTTCTAGGTAGGTATTCTGCACGTGCCCTTTTTAAATTAGGTCAAGTTTTTTATGTGCTGCTATTCAATTATGGTAGACTCTCTTGCTAGTCTTCCAAATTTGTATCCTCTCTAATTTGATATTATTTTTCTAATTTCTACCGCAAACGCCAAAGCAACCCCTTCATTCGTTCAACAATCCTCATTGACCAGGTATATATTTTGTGTTAATCAAGGCATAAATCGTGAGTCTTGCCTTCCTCGAGATCGTTGTCACGTCTGAACAAGTGTAAATGATCGACAATTATTTCAAGTTATGTTTGGAAAGTATTACATTCATGTATGCGCGTGGTCATTTTTTGTATGTGATATTACATGAGTTACTATTAACTATATTGATGTTTATAGGAAGAGAATTTATCGTGGAGTTTATAAGCGCTTGCTTATAGAAAGAGAACCTATAACAAATTTATAAATGCTATTACTGTCAGTAGAGAATTGCGTACCTTAATTAGTCAAATTCTTAGTAATTATGAAATGTGACTGACGATCATTTTAGTATTAATGCATTCTTTTCATATTAAATGCATACCTATTATATTATATTTCATTTTTAGGGGGGGTTGGGCTTAGCCTCACAATGGGCTAGTAATAATGTGATTCAAATTCGCATTTGGCGAGAATCGAACCTAAGATCTCTCACTTACAAGTAAAGAGGAATACTACTAGACCGTAGTACTAAGTGACATTATATTATATTAAATTGTGGTGACTCAAATTTTAGGGTTTCAATGGTCAAAGATGTATCAAAGATTTGCCCGACACAACTAAAATTTGGCTCTTCAATGACTGATTTAGTTCAGTTTTTTTTTTGGACAAATTCAATTTCTTTTGCACTTAACATGCATTGTAAACCGTGACTTGTCACAAGTTATCTTCTTTTAAAAAAAATATGCATTGTAAACAATTCCTATTGGACTTTTTGGAACTTTTAGGTAGGTATAATTATTTGTATAAGTATTCTTTAAGTATATAATTATTTGTATTATTAAAAATAAAAACTTTGATGTCATTTCTTAATCAATAGCTTTCTTTGTTTCCTCAAACTAGGAATCTCTGAGCTAGGTCGGAAACCCCTTTGAAATTTCTGGAGCTGAAGACCGTCTCCATGGCTCAAGCGGCCATTTCTATTTTCAAAGGTATGGAAAAGTATTACTTCACTAATTTATGGAAAAGTATTACATTCATGTATGTAGCGCGTGGTCACTTTTTGTATGTGATATTACGTGAGCTACTATTAACTATTGATGTTTATAGAAAGAGAATTTATCGTGGAGTTTATAAGCGCTTATAGAAAGAGAACCTATAACAAATTTATAAACGCTATTAACTATCGGTAGAGAATTGCGTACCTTAGTTAGTCAAATTCTTAGTAATTATGAATTGTGACTGATGATCATTTTAGTATTAGAGCAACTCCACCGTGGGAAACCCCCCTAGGCTATTCACTATTTAATCCACCCAGTGAACAGTAATTATCCTTAATGAACAGTAACTGTCTTTTGCATATCCACCGTTGCACTTGAATAGCCTTGGCAATGGGCAATAAAATATTAATTTTTTTTTAAATAATACAAAATAATTTTATTTGTAATTTTGGATAAAATTTTTAATTGTTCTCGTTGCGCCACGTGTCATTATCCGAAAAGACAATTATTGGTGATGGATTTCGATAAGATTGTTATCCAATGTCGTCGTGCCACATGTCGTTACCTTTTCAGAATCTTTGAGGATAGATTTCAATCAAATTTTAAATCGTTATCGTTGCGCCACGTGTCATTATCCGAAAAGATAATTATGGTAATGGATTTCGATCAGATTTTTAACGGATGACGACATGCCACGTAGCACTATCTAGAACCTAATCATTTATGAATCCTCTATATAATCCATCATCCATCCTCTGAAATCTCACACCAATTTTCTCAAGATCTCTATCATTATTCATAGTTTCTGCTTCCTTCTTCACCAAAATCAAAATCTGTATCATTATTCATAGTTTCTGCTTCCTTCTTACAATGTCTTCTTCTGCAAGGATGATGTGGGAAATCGATCAGCAAGACGAAGAATTGTTTAACCAATCAGAAGGAATGTTCAATCTCCAGGTGGCCCAAAATGAGATGGAAAAGGATGAAGAGCATAGAAGGAAAGATGACGAAGCAAGAATGGCTAAAGCCTCACATTCCCGTCGAGTCATCCAAGTTATGGCTCAGATCTCCAGGCCCAGTCATTCCGGAAACCATGATAGAAACAGGCAAAGACGAGGTGCGGAGCTCTTGGACGATTATTTTGTCTTTAACAGTGCATTCCCTAATACGTACTTCAGACGTCGTTTTAGAATGGAACGACATTTGTTCAACAAAATCATGATTGCTATTTGCAACCGTGATTCTTACTCTGTGCAAAAGAATGATGCTTTTAGTGTTATGGGTAATTCCTGAGCAAAAAATTACTAGTTGCGATGCAGATGCTTGCGTATGGAGTATCTGCAGACCAAGTGGATGAGATAACGAGGATGGGGAAATCAACCATCCTTGAGTCCCTTATGAGGTTTTGCGGAGCAATCAAATCTATCTACACCGAAAAGTATCTCTGGAAACCTACTGACATGGACTTGCAAAGGCTTCTGAAGAAGAGCGAGATACGAGGTTTTTCTGGGATGATTGGAAGCATCGACTGTATGCACTGGACCTGGAACATTGTCCAAGTGCATGGCAAAGCGCTTATGGGGATAGAAAATGAGCAAAAAGTATCATTTTGGAGGCGGTGACATCTTTTGATACATGGAGTTGGCATGCATTTTTCGGGGTTCCGGAAGCTCAAAATGACCTCAATGTCCTTGCCCGACCCCCAGTGTTCAATGATGTCCTGCAAGGAAAGACACCAAAAGTCACATACTGGGTTAACGGACGTAAGTACCATGGGCCATATGACCTAGCAGACGGCATTTACCCAATGTGGTCAACATTTGTTAAAATAGTGCCATGTCGGTGAAGTGCAAAGGAAAAACACTTTGCAAGCTATCAAAAAGGGTGTAGGAAGGATGTGGAGCATTGTTTTGGTATCCTCCAAGCTCGATGGGCACTTATCAGAGGTGTTGCCAGAATGTTTGATGTACAGTCCCTTCGATCCATCATGATGACGTGCATCATTCTTCACAACATGATTGTGGAAGATGAGTACAATTATGATGCCGTTGATGAATATGAGCCAGACACGATGAACAATTCCAAAACACAAATATATTGTGCTCATGACGTCACCGAAGAACCTGTGCAACATGAGCCATTAGAAGGGGATGGACGTTACAATGAAAGGCTCATTCAATGATAGATTGCACTTCAAAGGCCATATATGCACAATGCTCGGCAAATTGACTTGATAGAGGACTAGTGGCAATTGAAACAAGCTCAAGATACTTAAGTTCATTTAGTGTGTTTGTTTTTATTTGGTGTGTTTATTTAATTTTATTTGGTGTGTTTTTTTTGTTCATTTAGTGAGTTTTTTTTTATATTTGGTACGTTTATGTAATTTTATTTGGTGTGTTTATGTCATTTGAATAAAGATTCTCTTAGTATAATAAATCACCAAATTAAATAAATTTAATCTCACTTTAAATAAAGTACTAAATTCAATAAATTGGAAACAACATAAAGTACTCTATTCAATAAATAATAAATTACAACCCAAAGTACTCTATTCATCATCACTTAACCAATTTGTGGTGCTAGGATGATCTTCTATTATGGTGCTAGGATGATCTTCTCTTATCATGCTAAGACCATCTCATCTTGCTTTCGCTT